ACACACACACACACACACACACACACACACACACAAAGTCAACACTTCCTTCTCCAGTTGTTTGTGGGACTGGAAGCTGTATTATTTTCTTTCTCTTTTTCACTCCATTTCCGTCTCTCTGCCTCTGTCTTTCTTTTTGTCTCTCTCTCTTTGTTTGCATCTGTCTCTTTCTTCAGCTCTCTCAAAATAAATCCTCATCTCTTCCTGTTTTTGCATCGTCTCAAAATAACATTGTGCGTGTATCTAGCTTACGATTATTATTGTTTATATTGCTGCTCATTTATGTTATGCATATGACTGTAAGCCTACGTGTGTGTGCATGTGTGTGTGTGTGTGTGCGTGTGTGTGTGTGCGCGCGCGGGTGCGTGAGTGTGTGTGTGCGTGCATGTTTGTGTGTGTGTGGGTGTGTGTGAAACACCAAACCAATGAGGCAGGATCTAGACAATAAAGATGCATCTTATCTTATCTTATCTCTCTTTTTGTTGAGATTGTTGAGAACCGACGCTTTCAGTACTCTTCATTTCTCTTTCAAATATTTTATAGTTCGCACTGCCACACCACATGCATTCCCCTTCGATGATATTCTCTGCCATATCTCTTTCTTCATCTCACGGGTTACGGTGGAACTGTGGCTGGTGAAAAGGGTCACCTTTTCTACTTGCAGCTCTTCAACTACTTCAAGTAGTATTTGAATTACCTCAGCACTGAAGTTCACTTTTCCTTCCCTTTTCGCAACTTTCTCCACCATGATGCACAGTTCAGAAACTCCCACATGTTGTTGGAAATTGAATGTCCAAAAGCACACAGTGACAGCAGAGCAGGTTTGCCCAGTAATCTACAAATATCTCATATTGCACTTTGCGTTTAGCTATACATTTCCATTTAGCGCGATGTGCATACAAAATACGGTTAGTGTTTGTACGCGGTTAGGGCCTGTATAGCTAACCGTATTTAAGCTCTAAGCGCATTTAAGCTAACTGGTTCTGATATGCATACAGGCCCTAATCTGTTACAAAGAAAGATACAGAAGGTCATTTTTAACATCACCCATCCAAATTCTTTCATTTTAACCATCTTGTTATAAGTATTCATATGACCTTAGAGCATGAATCAGAATAACATTGAGTATGTATCTAGCTTAAGATTATTATATTTACATTGATGTTCATTTATAATAAGCATGTGACTGTGGGCCTGCGTGGGTGTGCATGTTTGTGTGTGTGTGTGTGTGTGTGTGTGTGTGTGTGTGTGTGTGTGTGTGTGTGTGTGTGTGTGTGTGTGTGTGTGTGTGTGTGTGTATGTGTGTGTGTACGTGGTGAAACACCAAACTAATGTTCCAGGAACTGGACAATAAAGAGGTATCTTATCTTATCTTATCTTCTCTTATATTATCTTTATTTGGTAAACACACAACACAAGACACAAAGACAAACACACACAAAGTCAATACTTACTGTTCCAGCTGTCTGTGGTAGTGAAATCTGCGAAAGGGAAAAAAACGTTTTCTAGATAAACAATATCAAATATTTCCCGGTATTCTTATGGTCTGAACTAAGGATTTCTGTCTTTCTCTTTCTTGAAAACACAAAGAGTCAGTACGAAGATAAAGAAAAGAAAACACAAAGAGTCAGTACGAAGATAAAGAAAAGAAAACACTAAGAGTCAGTACGAAGATAAAGAAAAGAAAACACAAAGAGTCAGTACGAAGATAAAGAAAAGAAAACACTAAATGAGATTTTTCTGGCTCATGCCATAATATTCTCTCGTCACCTAAATTCGTCTTTCTTTTACTCTCACAATCCCTTCCTATCTTTCTGTTTTAATTACACACAAAATATGATAAAACAAAGATTTCACACTCACTGCTTGGGTTGGGTGTGCTACTGGAACCTGTGAACACAGAAATAAAGTCAACTTTACCAACTACAGTCGAACCTGCCCTGACGGCCACCTCTATAAGACGGCCACCTGAACAAACGGCCACTTTCCATTTCCCCCCTTGCGTTTTTTCTATATAATTTAACTGTGTAAAACGGGCACTTGTCCAACGCGGCCGCGGCCACAATAATTTAACACACAACCCCTATAATACTAAGCAATAACACCTGTCTAAGACGGTCACCTTAGTGACTCCATTAAGCTTTGTCATAAATTGTGCATTGGCCCCCGGCGTTGTGGACGAGCCGTCATAATTCAATCACCTGTCGTTGTTGTAATGTTAGGTAGTCCCTCCAACAGATCATGTTGCGTAGGCCCCTCCCACTGTTGACCAATAGCTACCAATTTTCAGCTGCTGGTGAGGCAAGCATGTGATCCCTCATAACCCATAAGCCCCGCCCAGAACTCATACACAAATCGTAAGTGAGATGAGTGGTTACTGTTTACCCAGTCTGTAACAAAGTAACAAAGGACGTCAACATGAACTTGTTACAGAAGCGTCCCTTGTTCTCCAAGTGGTGGCGACCCATGTGTTTGTTTTAACATGGCACTCGGTCTTCTTTGTCGGATACATTTCGTTTTATTGTCACCATTGTGCAAAATTAGCGACAAAATAAAAATTACAAACGAAATACAAACCAACAGCAACAACACCAACAAACACAACAACAATGGGGCTACTTTCGATTGGGGCCTCAGATGGGAATGGTTTGTTTTCTTTATCTTGATCAGTCCTGCCTAAGACGGCCACCTGTCTTATGCGACCACTTTTCTCCTTGACAATGGGTGGCCGTCTTACACAGGTTTGACTGTACTTCCTACATAATCTTAGTTTTAGTTTTAGTAAGAGTTTCACGGCACTCGCAACTGCATAAGGTCATATGAGTGCCAGAAGATTAGAGGTTTTACAGCAGAGTAACAAACATAAAAAAGAAGAAGGGGAGATAAGGACGATAGATCTTTGATAGGAAAGGAGGAGCAAACCACACTAGAGCACCCGCCAACCACCTACATAATCTGTTTTAAAAAAAGCATCCATCTCTTTCATTGTCAGTCTCTATCAGTCTGTTTTACTTCATTTTCTAATTTCATTTTTCTGTCTGAATGTTTTTTGTTTGTCTGTTAATCTCACTGTATAGTCATCATTCCAAGCCAATTTGCCTACCACTCTTTCTCTCCCTTTTTGTTGTTGCTCTCTCTCTCTCTCTCTCTCTCTCTCTCTCTCTCTCTCTCTCTCTCTCTCATATGGACATATTTACACTGTACCCACACACACGCATGTGCACACGCACATTCACACACACAGTCTCAATCATACAAACTCAAGAAATAATCTCGACTTCTTCATTTCCTAAACAAACACACACAAAGTCAATACTTACTGTTATAGCTGTTTGTGGTAGTGAAATCTGCGAAAAGGAAGAAAAATGTTTTCTAGATAAAATACTATAAGATATTTTGTGATGTTCTCATTGTCTGAACTAAGGGATCTCTGTCTCTCTAACTCTCTCTTTCTTAAAAGCACAAAGAGTCAACGTGTAGACAGAAACAAAGCACGCTAAATGAAATTTGTCTGTCTCTTGCCATTATTCTTTCTCTTTATCTGCATCTGGCTCTTTCTTTGCCTCTTGGTATCCCTTCCCGTCTTTCCGTTTTGGCTTGGTACAAAATAAGATAAAAACAAACAAATATTCTGCACTCACTGCTTGTGTCAGCTGTGCTACTGGAATGTGTGAACACAGAAAAATTATAAATTTTACCAACTACTTTCAACTTATTTTGTTTGAAACAAAAAAGCATCCCTTTCATTTATTCCCGCTCTCTATCAGCATAGACTCAATTTCATCTCTCATTTCATTTGTCTGCCTGTCTGCCTGCCTGTCGGTCTGTCTTTCCATCAATCCATGCCCATTTGCCTGCACCTCCCTCTCTCCCTTTTTTTTGTTGCTCTCTCGCTCTCTCTTTCTCTCTCTCTCTCTCTCTCTCACTCTCTCTCTCTCTCTCTCTCTCTCTCTCTCTCTCTCTCATATGGACATATTTACACTGTACCCACACACATACATGTGCACACGCACACTCACACACACAGTCTCAATCATACAAACTCAAGAAATAATCTCGACTTCTTCATTTCCTAAACAAACACACAATACACACAGACAAACACACACAAAGTCAATACTTACTGTTCCAGCTGTCTGTGGTAGTGAAATCTGCAAAAACGAGGAAAAAATATTTCCTATGTAAAACACATGCACTCACACACACACACACACACACACACACACACACACACACACACACACACACACACACACACACACACACACACACAAGCATGCATCACAAATGGACACACACACATAAACACACACACAAACACACACACACAAACACACACTCACACACACACACACACACAATAACACGTTCAGAGCCTCAAGCATTCAAATTTAGAAATGATCTCGACATCTCTATTTTGTAAACACACAACATATGACACACAGACAAACACACACAAAGTCAATACTTACTGTTCCAGCTGTCTGTGGTAGTGAAATCTGTGAAAGGGAAAAAACGTTTTCTAGATAAACAATATCAAATATTTCCCGGTATTCTTATGGTCTGAACTAAGGATTTCTGTCTTTCTCTTTCTTGAAAACACAAAGAGTCAGTACGAAGATAAAGAAAAGAAAACACTAAATGAGATTTTTCTGGCTCATGCCATAATATTCTCTCGTCACCTAAATCCGTCTTTCTTTTCCTCTCAAAATCACTTCCTATCTTTCTGTTTTAATTACACACAAAATATGATAAAACAAACAAAGATTCCACACTCACTGCTTGGGTTGGGTGTGCTACTGGAACCTGTGAACACAGAAAAAAAGTCAACTTTACCAACTACTTCCTACATAATCTTAGTTTTAGTTTTAGTAAGAGTTTCACGGCACTCGCAACTGCATAAGGTCATATGAACGCCAGAAGATTAGAGGTTTTACAGCAGAGTAACAAACATAAAAAAGAAGAAGGGGAGATAAGGATCATAGATGTTTGATAGGAAAGGAGGAGCAAACCACACTAGAGCACCCGCCAACCACCTACGTAATCTGTTTGAAAAAAAGCATCCATCTCTTTCATTGTCAGTCTCTATCAGTCTGTTTTACTTCATTTTCTAATTTCATTTTTCTGTCTGAATGTTTTTTGTTTGTCTGTTAATCTCATTGTATAGCCGTCATTCCAAGCCAATTTGCCTACCACTCTTTCTCTCCCTTTTTTTTGGTGCTCTCTCTCTCTCTCTCTCTCTCTCTCTCTCTCTCTCTCTCTCTCTCTCTCTCTCTCTCTCTCTCTCTCTCTCTCATATGGACATATTTACACTGTACCCATACACACGCATGCGCACACGCACACTCACACACACAGTCTCAATCATACAAACTCAAGAAATAATCTCGACTTCTTCATTTCCTAAACAAACACACAATACACACAGACAAACACACACAAAGTCAATACTTACTGTTCCAGCTGTCTGTGGTAGTGAAATCTGCAAAAAGGAAGAAAAAATATTTTCTATGTAAAACACATGCACTCACACACACACACACACACACACACACACACACACACACACACACACACACACACACACACACACATACACCAATGTCACACACATACACACACACACACCACACACACACACACACAAGCATGCATCACAAATGGACACACACACACAAACACACACACATAAACACACACTCACACACAATAACACGTTCAGAGCCTCAATCATTCAAATTTAGAAATAATCTCAACATCACTATTTTGTAAACACACAACATAAGACACACTCACAAACACACACAAAGTCAATACTTACTGTTATAGCTGTTTGTGGTAGTGAAATCTGCGAAAAGGAAGAAAAATGTTTTCTAGATAAAAAACTATAAGATATTTTGTGATGTTCTCATTGTCTGAACTAAGGGATCTCTGTCTCTCTAACTCTCTCTTTCTTAAAAACACAAAGAGTCAACGTGAAGACAGAAACAAAGCATGCTAAATGAAATTTGTCTGTCTCTCGCCATTATTCTTTCTCTTTATCTGTATCTGGCTCTTTCTTTGCCTCTCGGTATCCCTTCCCGTCTTCCCGTTTTGGCTTGGTACAAAATAAGATAAAGACAAACAAATATTCTGCACTCACTGCTTGTGCCAGCTGTGCTACTGGAATGTGTGAACACAGAAAAAAATTAATTTTACCAACTACTTTCAACTTATTTTGTTTGAAAAAAAAAGCATCCCTCTCTTTTATTCCCAGTCTCTATCAGCATAGACTCAATTTCATCTCTCATTTCATCTGTCTGCCTGTTTGCCTGTCTGTCTATCTGTCGGTCTGTCTTTCCATCAATCCATGCCCATTTGCCTGCACCTCCTTCTCTCCATTTTTTCTCTCTCTCTCTCTCTCTCTCTCTCTCTCTCTCTCTCTCTCGCTCTCTCTCTCTCTCTCTCTCTCTCTCTCTCATATGGACATATTTACACTGCACAAATGCACACGCATGTGCACACGCACACTCACACACACAGTCTCAATCTTACAAACTCATGAAATAATCTCGACTTCTTCATTTCCTAAACAAACACACAATACACACAGACAAACACACACAAAGTCAATACTTACTGTTCCAGCTGTCTGTGGTAGTGAAATCTGCAAAAAGGAAGAAAAAATATTTTCTATGTAAAACACATGCACTCACACACACACACACACACACACACACACACACACACACACACACACACACAAGCATGCATCACAAAAGGACACACACAAACACACACTCACACACAATAACATGCTCAGAGTCTCAATCAAACAAACTTAAAAATAACCTCAACGTCTTTATTTTGTAAACACACAACACACGACACACAGACAAACACACACATAAGTCAATACTTACTGTTCCAATAACAACAGATAACGACAGATAACAACTGATAACAACAAAGCAAAAATTACACTAAGCATATATAGTTTTCATTCTTAGAAGCATATACTTACTCGAGACTGTTGTATTGGTAGCTGAGGAAGAAAGAAAAATAAAAAGTATCATTTCAGAAGTGTTCACATATACACAGTCATAATTGTCCAAGACGGCCACCCAGAGTCAAGGAGAAAATTGGTTGTCTCAGGTGAATGTCTAAGACAGTGTTGTTATGTTGTTGTTGTTATCGATCCAGCAACAGCTGGGCTCTCGCCCTTCTGTCCAATGCCATGTAGCGATAAGTGCAGGTCTGCTGCAGTTGCTGTAATGTTCCATAGAGTGTGTTGTCTATGTTAGGTCTCGGAGGGAGAAGGGTAGCTCTGATGTCATTTAGGGCTGTGCAGTGGAACAGGTGATGCTCCACAGTCTCATATGCATAGTCACACAAGGGACACATTGGGGGAAGTTCCGGGTTTATTCTGTTCAGGTGGAAGTGGAGCTGTATATGTTCTGTTCGTAGGCGGAAGATCGTGGTCTGTTTCTTTCTCTGAAGGTGGTTGATATTGTCATTCCTTTTTGTTGTGGTCATATGTTTGAAAACTTCTCTGCCTGTCTTTCCCAGGGCCCATCTGTTCATCCAATCTTGTTTGTTGTTGCTTTTGATGATTTGTTTTGCAGTGTTGTACAGTGTTGTTATAATATTTTCAAAAAAACAAAGGTGGGTAGTGGGAAGTGGTCATTTGTATTGACGGTTGTCTTATACAGGTGGTCGCTTGAGCTGGTTTGACGGATAGTGCAAATTTAATTTAAAAGGAAAGACTTTGCTTTCAACCAGTTCATAAAATTATTGATAAGAACAAAATCTATAAAAGTACAAAACCAAATAAAACTGGGCTATCAAATAGTAGCTTGGTCTGTCAAAAGCTAGCATTTAAAGATAAGCAGCGCCCCACCTTTGGTTGATTTTCTCAACTGTCACTGAAAAGATCTGAAATGTAAACACCCTGGACACCATTTTTCAGAGCCAGGGTATCATCGCACAAAATAGTGTTTTTTAAGGCAGTTCAAACTGAATATTCTATATAGTATCTACCAAAAAAAGCATAAATTCCATATATCCAAGGTCCCTGCAATATTCCTGTAATGATATGCTACAAGGGCATGGTTTGAGGATTGCACCCTTTCAAAGCAATAAGGTAATTTATGAGGGGGAACCCCAAAATGATTATCTGTTTTCTGTACAATGTAACAAAGAGGGTGCGGGGAAGCAATAAAAAGTCCTTAAACAACACAAACTCTTCAGGAGCTGAGCCAGAGTCATCAAAACTGTTGTCCAACAAGATCCCAACTTAACGGCCTAAACTCACAATTTCCACAAGTGAAGGCAAATCCATGGCCGCTTTCGCAAGTTGCATCTCCACACAGAACTGTGGACCACTTGCAAACGTCAAGGTCTGGGGAAAGATGAAAAAAATCAAACTTTCTGAGAATAGACAAAAGAACATCTTCACAGGTGGGAGAAATCTACTAAATAGACACTAGAATATAACAAGAGAAAGCTGTACTGATCAGACTTCATTGAAGAAGAAACGTTGTTGGTCTATGCTCCTCTGTAACCAAGTGAATCTGATTTGAATATAAACCACCAGGAAAGGTGAGCTACATAAACCAGACATTTCTAGAGACTGCTTACAGTAACATTTACATTGTGTATATAGGCCTTATAGTTATAAAATAAAATGGGTTCTAATTTTTCAAAGAAACATAAAATATCAGTATGCCAATTCCACACCACCCCCCTCCCTCCCCCAAACACATAGAAAAAAAGAAATAAAAACAGACTAATTGCTCTATAGAGAGACCAAACAAAATCAAACAATCTATGCTAACATAAAAAAATATTGAAAGACAAACCCAAATCAAAATTAACATCAGGTTTGACCTTGAATTAGATACCTTGAAAGATATCAAAGAGTCTTGTTTGGTTTTCCGTACCTGGACTTATTTTTATTTTCACCCTATAATAACTGAGATGGATCTCAACATTTGCACCCCAACCCCACTCCCATGTAACCCTTAACTTACCTAGTGGAGACATGTCAGTTTGAGCATCATACTCGCTCTCATAGACTTCCATTCTAGCTGGGCTGTGCACTATCCCGTTCCCAGTAGACACTTCCAAATTTCCAGCCGCGACCAGCTCAGCAATGGATTGAAAAACCTTGTCAGTTTCTCTTGCATCATACACTTGGAGATAGAAAATCATTGCAGTGGATTCACCACCTGCTCCTAGCGGACTGTGGAAGAAAATGAATAGCTAAGTAAGTTAAATTTTTGTCTTGATTCTCTTGAAGCATCAATGTTGTCTCACCCTGGTTTCACTAGTAGCAACCCTTTGTTTTGGTTCAGTGTCTTGGCAATTATTTTTTGACTCTTTACTGTTTTATAGATCTCTTCATTTCTCATTCATTGCTTTTTCTGTCATTTTTCGTTTCATTTTTTACACATTTATTTCTGATATGAGATAATATTTCAGTTTCATACTTAAAAAGGTATTTACGTATCATCGCAGTGAAATCAGGTGCTCATCAAAATAATGAAGCTGAAGAAACTGACTTTTTTCCTTTTTTTTTTGGCTCAAAACTTTTATATCCATTTGAAAATACATTTCTGTGTGGACTTTACTGAAACACATTGATCAAAGACAAAGGTACAAAGAATATAAACTTACAGTTTCCAAATACACTCAAGCCTTGGAAGTCACCAATCTTTGGCTCTTATGAGCGTGACGATCTAGAACTTGCACACACACACAGACACACACAAACACACACACATAAAAGACATAGAGACACACTCACAGACAGACAGACACACACACTCACACTCACACACACACACAGACAAACATACATAAACATTAGAGTTGGGGTGAGTGGACAGATGGGTTCGTTACTCATGGACTCACTCAGAGCGAGCGAGTAACGGACGGCCAAGCGAGCGAACTGCAAACCTCAAGACAGTTAATTTTTTGGTCCGCTCCACAATTTTACTCTCTCAGTGGGCGGACTACAGACCTCAAGTCTCAAGTCAGTTCATTTTTTGGGTTCGCTTCCCAATTTTTTTCACTGAGTGGACAGGCGAACGGACGAACTCTAGCAGATAGCATACTCGACGCGAAGTTAGGATCCTCGTCTATTGTTTGTTAATTAGGCCTAATGTTTCAAACCACTAGCGGTGCCACAGGGAGTGAGAGAGGCTGGTGACATAGCACTATGTGTGTAACCTTTCACCTCATATGTGGCTCACACTGTGTACGTTCCAATTATTGCAAAGGCCTGGGGGAGGGGGGAAGGGGGGTAGAGAAATTTCTGCCATGAACGCCTAACTACAATGTGGGGCAGGAGGGTGATATTTTAATTAATTAAATATTTATTTTTTAGGGGGAGAGGAGGGGGTTGTAAGTAGCATGCAATGGAAGGAGTCACTCCCTGTCCGTTATCCGTCCGCCCCCCTCTCGAATGCATGGAGTCTCTCCGTCCGCCCGTCCGTCTGCTCGCTAAACAAACTGTTGTCTCTGTCTGATGTGTAGTGAGTAGTGAGTAATGAATAGGCCAGGGCAAGATCGACTCTGGGATCGATTCTTTTGAGTCCAAATGAGGACTCAAAGAATCGATCTTGTTCCCAGACTCTAAGCTTCGAGTCCGCCCAGGGTCGACGCCTCCCGTCTCCTTTTTTTTAGCCTGGTTCCTAGCCTAGACTCCGAGAATCGAGGCAAGAATCTAAATCTCTACCGCACTTTTACAGTCCTGTCGTGGGATAGGCCTAGGGCTGTCCCACCCCACAGTCGAGTTTTTTGCTTCAAAACAGACACCGCACCAGGACGGGACTGATCCGGCGCATAAGGCGGCTTCTTTGATGTTGGCCTAGGCGGAGTTAAAAATGCATTCCAAAAATTTCTTAAATATTGGCCAAATTTAAGAAATAATAAGATTTTCG